AAGTAGGCATAGAAAACTGACTCTGGGTATAAGGATGAGGAAAATATTTTCAAAGTTGTGTTATCTGACTCTCTGAGTAAGTGTTATTTTCTCAAAACAAATTTCTTCATTTTGCCTCTAGGAGGGAAATTAAGCATTGGGTTTTGGTTCAGGTAACTCTGCTTCAGTAAAACAAGAGATATATGTGTCCTTGAAATTGGTGACATTTTTGTTCATGAAGGAATAGACATTACAAAATAGCAACCTAAATTTCATATTTAAGGCTTGATTTCTCTTGGATTTTAAAGAGTTTTCATAAGGATATTTCAGCAAAACAATATCCAGTTACTCAAAATTTGTTTTAAAAATAATACATAGATCTTCAAAATGCAGTTCCATATAATCTCTTTGTTTTTAAACAAAGTTATAATAACTGTAAATTTGAGAGTAGAGAGAATTCCTAGTCTCCCCTACTGTATTGAAGCTTATCCACAGCATGGAAGGGAAATTGAGTTGAGCCAGCTGCACTCAGGTCAGTCAGCAGAATCAATAGATGTCCTCAAGAGGAGCAAAACCACATTTGGTAGTAGTCTTACAGCTTTCAGATCTCAACTACATCCATGTTCAGAGTCTTCACAGCTCTCTAGTTCTTTCATTCTTTACATCAAACTTGATTAAAATTCTTGAGCTCAGAAACCATAATTAACTTCTCCCTATAATACCCCATAAAATGCCTCTATAGAGTTCAGCAAGACTTCATTTAATGGAAATAGACAAGAACTTTCTCATTATAAATGTGCTTTATTTAAATTTTCATGTTGATTATTCTTCTTTACATAACCATTATAAGCTTTCATTACAGTAAAATATATCCAGCAATGTAATAATATATTCCAATATGAATGATGAGAATAATAATACAATGTGAATGAACCTATATCAGTATAGAATGTATGTGGTATGTGGTATTCAAACTCTATACAACTGTCTATGCTAAAAACAGTGAGGCTGCAAAATTAGTAATTGCTATGCCCAAATGGTAGGTTTCTAAAGAATGTCATTGTAATTTTATTATAAAGCAAGGCAATGAGTAGAAAAGAAACCATAATGATTCCTTTCCTTAAACCTTTAATCATGATTTCTCTACTTGCCATTACTATAGAGGAAGTAACAGACTTTAGACAAAATCTAGATTAAGAACATGGGATACTTTTTCTGTCTTATGAACATAACTAATGAGGATCTCAGAGGAAACCTGAAAGATTGGAGGATGCACAGGATAACTGACTAACTGGCAAATATTTGTTCCATCTCTTCTGGTGGTTATCCAGAGGAGGCCTTTCTTGTTGCCCCTATCAAATCACACAGAATACATGGACTGAAGTTTAGGGCCTGTGAATCTCAGGCAAACACTTGAATGGAGCTGTCAGCAATGAAAAGATACAGTTGGACACATCAACAGCACAAGCACAGTAAATGAGGATAATGGGCATCAAGGAAAGGATGTTCAGCAAAAAAAGTGTGTGTGTGTGTGTGTGTGTGTGTGTGTGTGTGTGTGTGTGTGTGTAATGGGGCAAGGGAAGCTCAGTGGAACATCACTTGCCTAACATGCATGATGCCCTTTATTCAACTAAGCAACACAGACAGTCAGACATACACACCCACACCTCCACACACATACCCACAAACATACACACAAACACAATCATTTGTAACAAGGATTATATCACTGTTTCTTTGTGTGTTTAACTATTTTGATCACTTGAACACCACAGTTTTCAGATCTTGGTATCATCAGATCAGTGTTTTGGTTTTATCTATTATAAAACAGTTATTTCTGCTGTAAGTAAAATTTAATGGAATTTTAATGAACTATATCCAGAAGTTGTTGGACTGATAAGAGACTTATGTTTCCACCAATAGCCATTGCTCTTATAAATGTTCCTCACAACATTTAGACTGACAACTGTGGAACTTGTATGGGGCCAGACCAGACCCTCTGCATACAGGAGACAGTTGTGTAGCTTGGTCTGTTTGAGGGGCCCCTGGCAGTGGGATTAGGATATATCCCTGGTGCATGAATTGGCTTTCTGGAGTCCATTACTCATGGTGGGATGTCTTGACTACCTTTGATGCAGGAAGGAGGGCCTTGGTCCTGCCTAAACTGAATGTATCAGGCTTTGCTGACTCCCCATGGGAGGCCTTATCCTTTTGGAAGAAGGAACAGGGTGTATTTTGGGGAAGGGGAAGGCTGGGGGAGAGTGAGAGGAGGGATGAGAGGGGGATCTGTGGTTAGTCTGTTGTGGGCGCCATGGGCCCTAGCCCCCGACTGTGAGTGGCTGCCGCCTTGCTTGCTGACCTTGACCACATGTCCTCCCTATTCAGATTCCCTGCCGGTATCCACCCTTCTGAATGCTTAAGGGAAGTTCCTTGTTTGTGTATCCTGCATATTGGGCGTTAACAACTTAGATACAAGAATGTAGAACATTGGGTCTGGAATGTAGACCATTGGTAGCGAACTTCTGCCCTCTGGGGATCCTCCATTTGTGTTATAAGCCTGTATTTAAGGTTTCTTCCCTCTTTCAATAAAGGGGCATTCGGCATTCGGCCATGGCGATTGACTCGCTGTCTCTTGTCTCTGTTTTTAATCTGCAGCCCTTCGCTCGGACATGGTGAACGGGTATCGGTAATGTGGGCATTACCGCTACAGTCTGTAAAATGAGTAATAAAGTTTTTAAAGAAAAAATTCTACATGAACAAGGGTGGTTAGGAACACTGTGATGATATTTTATTTTGTGATGAAATGTGGTTATATGTTAGTTGTGCTTTGATAAATAAAGCTTGACTGGAGATTGGGCAGGGTGGGGGGAAGGACATCTATTTAAAGTAAGCAATGTTAGGCAGCACATGCAATTAATCCATCACATATCAGGCAGGGTCTCTGTGTGTTCAAGGCCATACTAGGGAAGAGAGCCAAGGGTGGTGACACATACCTTTAAATTCAGTACCAACCATAGAGACTTGGAGGTCTGTACAGACAGTCAGTCACAAGGAAGTGAGGTAGCTGGGCTAAGAGCCAATAAGAGGACAGAAAAGCAAGGCATAGAAAGGTGTGGGTAGATAGGAAGTAGCTCACATTTAGAAGCTACAGAGTGGGTGAAGTAAGGCAGCTGGCAGCATCTCACTATTTCCCTGATCTCTCTAAGGCTTTCATCCCTATATTTGGCTCTGTGTTTTTATTTAATAAGACCATTTAGAAATTCATCTACAGAACACCACAAAACATGGCCCACAGAATCAACTGACTGTAACCCATGGTGACTTTCAGAGATCATGGAGCCTGTAGGGGTCTGATCTAGGTTTTCTGCATTTATGTATTGTCAGTGTAGCTTTCTGTTCTTTTGGGGTTCCTAACAATGGGAGCAGGAACTGTCTCTGAATCTTTTGCCTGCTTTTGGGACCCTTTTCCTTATAGTGGGTTGCCTCATTCAGCTTTGATGTGATGATATGTTCCTGGTCATATTGTAGTTTGTTATGCCTTCTTTGGTTGACATCTATGGGAGTCCTGCTCCTGTCTGAGGGGATGCAGGGGGCATGGCCCTTTGTGGAGGGGAGAGAGGGGAAAATGGAGTTGTGATGTAATATGAGAAAAGAATTTAAAAAGAAATTAAGAAGTAATGGATAAAGAATGTGTGTTAAATATACACAATGGAATTTTACTCAACCATAAAGGAGATGGGGTAGAGGATTTATATTCTTTGTAAGAAAATAGATAGAACTATTTTAGGCTTATTAACTTATTTCACTTAACAAGATAGACTGTCTTGTTAAGTGAAATAAGTCAGTGTCATGCAGATATGTAAGCGTGTTTTCTCTCATATATAGAACCTAGGGTGGAAAAGGTAGGAAGATAAAAGGGAGGCAGTTATGGATATGGAATAATAAAAAGTGATGGAGAAGAGGATAATAAAAGGTGACAGAAGGGTGTATGTAATCATGGAATGCCATATACAAGTGTGGAAACATTGTAATGAGAGACTCCTTACTGTTTACAAATAATATATATTAATAAAAAATTGAAAAAAACCTTCTTTCATGCTATAAGTTAAAAAATGTTCCTAATTACAAAATAAATGAATAAATAAATTTGATAATAAACCTGAAAAACCTATGTCATCCAGCTATAGAATAATGCCAATATAATGAGAAACATCAAAAGTTGCTTGGACTTGCAAATGTTTAAAGGTAGTCTTTTGAAATAAAATTCATAATTAGATCATTATTTCTAATATTGAATGATTAGTGCTTTTTTAGAGATCAGAAAAATAAATATGTATTACATGTCAATTTTGCCAGTTCATACTTAAGTCTACTTGAAACCAGAGAGAACAGTTTTTTTAGAATGATTTTTTAATGCTAAAATAAGAAATATCAAAAATATTTAATAAAAATAACTAATTTACTCAGAAACAAATGTGGAAAATAAACACTAAAAATTCAATTTAATTCATTAAAGCTAATGTACTAAATGCATATTTTGTTGATTATAAATGTAGTTCATTGTTCCTTATCATAATGTATATGCTAGATTTTTCTTTCCTTGTAGTAATTCCATGATATGCATAAAGTTTACAAAAAATGACAAACTATGGTTATATTTGGCTAGCTGGTATCAAAATGAAAGTCAAAAATGATGTTAAATCATATAGTTCATGAAACTCTATGTTGCATGCAATGCCCTAAAATGATGTTATCCCTCTGAGTGTCTTAGTCCAAAGTCTCCAACACTTATAGAGGATTTAAGAATGCATTCCTGGAAAAAGGGATGAATATCACATAAAATAACTGTCTGTTTGTTTTTCCTTCTGACTTATCACTTAAATGATAGTGAACTCACTGAGGAGTTCAGGTTTACCAGAAAAATTAGACTCAGCAATAGTACTAGCAAATCACCAGAACAGGTATATTCTGTTTTTAGATCATCCTTATTAATAAGTCTCAACTGTGTCCAGCTGTCTTACTGTGTTGTTTGGATGGTAGTTGAGGTGCAAGCCACTGTCACAAAGAGGAGAAGAGGTACCACTGCTTTGGTCACTTGGAGCACCTGCAGGAGACAAAAGCATAATATAATGTCATGCTGTTCTAGAATGACTTTGTCTAGTTCATATTATTTTCAATAATAATATGAAAATTGACCCTCCCATTTCCCTATGTTCTCATCCCCCACTCCTCGCCCTCTGCCACACCCCCACACCCAGTCCACTCATGTAGATCTCATCCACTTCTCCTTCACAGGGTCATTCATGTGTCTTTCCTAGGGTCTTTCCCTGTTAGCTAGCCTTTCTAAAGTTGTGGGTTGCAGTCTGGCCATCCCTTCCCTCATATTTACTATCCACTTATGAGTGAGTACATACTTTGTTTGTCCTTATGAGTCTGGGTTACCTCACTCAAGATGATATTTTCTAGTTCCATCCATTTGCCTGCAAATTTCATGATATCATTGGTTTTTTTAGTGCTGAGTAGTATCCCATTGTGTATATGTGCCACATTTTCTTTATCCATTCTTCAGTTGAGGGGCATCTAGGTTGTTTCCAGTTTCATGCTATTATGAATAATGTTGATATGAACAGAGCTGAGCATGTGTCCTTGTGGGAAGATTGAGCATTCCTTGGGTATATACCCAAGAGTGGTATAACTGGGTCTTGAGGAAGACATATTCCCAATTTCCTGAGAAACCACCATACTGATGTCCAGAGTGGTTGTACAAGCTTGCATTCCCACCAACCATGGAGGAGTGTTCGCCTTGGTTCACATCCTCTCCAACTTAAGCTGTCTTCAGTGTTTTTGATCTTAGTCATTCTAACAGGTGAAAGATGGTATCTCAGAGTTGTTTTGATTTGCATTTCCCTGATGACTGAAGATGTTGAGCAATTCCTTAAATGCCTTTCAGACACTTGAAATTCTTCTGTTAAGAATTCTCTGTTAAGCTCTGTTGCCCATTTTTTTTAAATGGATTGTTCAGATCCACCACCAGGCACCCGGCTGAGCTCTGGGAATCCAATTGATGAGAGAGAGGAGAGATACTGCAGGTGAGGGACATTGAGATCATGATGGGAGGACATGCAGAGATGACCAGCCACACTAGAGGAAGCCCATGAATTGTGGACTGGTGGCTGTGGAGCCCCCATGGGACTGGACTAGGCCCTCTGGATATGGAAGACAGTTGTTTGGCTTGAACTGTTTGGGAGGCACCCAAGCAGGGGGATTAGGATCTGTCCCTGGTCTATGGACAGGCTTCTGGAATCTGGTGCCTGTGGTGTGATACCTTGCACAGCCTTTGTACAGTGAGAAAGGGCTTGGACCTGCCTAGGCTCAATGTGCTGGGTTTTGCTGACTCTGCATGGGAAACCTCAATTGGGGGGATGTTGGGAAGTGAGGTGGCTTGGGAAAGAGGACTAGGGAGTGGGAGGAGGAGAGATCTGTGGATAGTATGTGGAGTTAGTAGAAAATTTCTTAATAAAGAAAAATGAAAGAAAAAATAATATGAAAATTGAAAAATAAAACACAAAGAAATTTGATTTACACCAAAGCTTGGCAATAATATAAGTCTTGGTAAAGAGAGAGAGAAAGAGAGAGAGAGAGAGTCTATTTTGAATTTCAGAAACATCAGACTTTCTTAAAAATATTGTATTCTGTTTTTTCCCATTCCTCATTCCAAGAGAAGCCAGAAGATAGTACAAGATCTTCTAGAACTGGAGTTAGAGAAGGTTGTAAGCCATAGCAGTGTGTTAGAAATAAAATCGGTGTCCTCTCAAGAGCAGCCAGGGTTATTAAATGCTGAGCCAATTCTCTGATCCCTCTACTCAGACTTTTAATATTGAAATGTTTTGTTAATCTGTAAAGTTTTATTTTATGCTTTGTTTCAAAGTATGGACTAATTCTATCAATAGAAACTAGTTTCATATGTGCTCTTAGTATGTATTCACAAATCCTCACCAAATCTATTTAATTTTGTGACATTACAAAGCACAAATATGCATTCAAATTTTATGAAAAATATAGTAACACATATTTTAAATTTAATAATTAATTTAATCAATCAATCATTCTAATCAATTTAAATCATTGAATAATGTACTAAAGGTACACAATTTTCAAAGATGTCATGTATAGAAATTACATGCTTCCTGACTTCTGATTCTTCACTGTGACCAGACATTATTACTTTGGAATTTCTAATGTATTTGACCAACCAATTATTTTTTGAAAAGTCACAGTTGAGTTTAAGCACCAAATTTCTTAGGAAGGTTTTACTTCCTAACATGATACATTCAAGACTTTTTTTTATTATTATTACTCAAAATGCTACAGATTTCCTGCAGCTAAGAAGTCATTTGCCTGGATTAAATTTGTCCACTCTCCAAATGCAAATTTTTTTAGTTAAGGGGCTAGAGTAATGACTCAGTGGTTAAGAGCACATGCTACTTTTGCAGAAGTCCTGGGTTCAATATGCAGCACCAGCATGGCAGTTCAGAGACAGCTGTACCTCTAGTTCCAGGGAATATGACATTTTATGGTCTCCCTGAACATTAAAAGCTCATGGTGTGCTTACATGCAAGCTTATGTATGTATATACATACATATATAAAACAAGAATAAACAATAATTTCTCTTAAAATTTACACTTTATTTTTGTATTTTGTGTAAATTTTAAATATATTTTTTATTTTTATAACATTATTTTATTGTCATAATTTTGAAATATATCCATTTTAACTTGAATATGTTTACATGTTTTAATGTGATATCATCAAATGATACCTACTTATTGAAAACACAAAATATCAAATTCTGTGACTGTATTTTAAATTATCATAGAGAAAAAAATAAAATTATAAATAAATACACAAAGAATCCAGCTATAATTTTAATGATGTATACTTATATCAGAAAAATTTAGTGGAATAGAAATTTAAATTAAACAAGCATTAAATAATTACAAGTAAAACAAAAGTTATATAGCAGTTAATTTTATGGCAAGAACTATGTAGAAAAGAGGAGAAAGTAAAATTAGCAGTGTCAAGAAGGCTAATAGATACTAAAGCAAAAACTGAAAAGATGTTATTGTAAGTTAATATTAATAAATTAATATCTTCACTTGATTGAGAAGTAGCATGAAAAGAATCTAGCTAATTTTATAAAAAAAATAACTACAAAGAATAATGCATTTATTCTAGAGACTAAGTAATACAAAAGAATACTGACATTCCATTCTAAATTTAATTTTTATTAAAGAATTAAGAAAATTGTGGTACACAAGAGTGAATTTCATTATATAAAATTGAATCTAACATCGGTGTTCACAATAGATAATTGGAACCATATTATGGCCCACACCTCTGGCAGAAGCCTCTTTTTCCACCAGAGGCTAGGCCAGTATCCCGAATCCCAGATAAGACTGCTCCCCAAACCACCAGCACTTGCCCAGCATAACTCCAATTGCCCTTCCTCTCCTCATCACTATGTCCTGACCCACACCTCTGCCAGAAGGCTTCTACTCCATCCAAGGCCAGGAAAGAACCCTGATCCCCAGAGGTCACACCAGCATCCTGAATCTTAGAGACCAAGGCTAAATCCCTGAAAAACAGGCAGAAGCCTCCTACCACACCAGAAGCCAGAATTACATCTGAATCCCAGACAACTCTCTGCCCAAATCAGAGGCCATGCACATTCATAGCCAGAATATCAGACCCAAATATGGGGAAGAATTCCCTGGTAGATCAGAGGCCACCTAAGCCATCAGACATCTAGCTTAACAACAAGCTGAGGAATCCAATAAACAAGAGAAGAAACAGAAACAAAGGAAAAAAAAACCACTCATCCAACAAAGAATAATTTTGAAAAACTGGCAACTAGATTTATGATCATTCCAAATTCAGATGTCTAAACATATGTGAAAGAACACAAACAACAACACCCAGAGCAATAAGTCACAACCAGAACACAGCTATCTCAGTACAACAAACCCTGAATATTCCAACAGTTGAACTAAAAGAAAATAATCTTAAAACCAAATTTATGATGATGATAGAGGTCCTCAAAGAGGAGAAGTAAAACTTCCTTAAATCACCCTAGGAAAAGAAAGCCACATAATTGGAATAAGTCAGCAAATCCCTTAAAGAATGACAAGAAAGCCAAGAAAAATCATACAAGCATACAAACACCTGAAGAAAATTGTTCAAGACATGAAAATCTAAATAAAATCAATAAAGGAAAGACAAATTGAGGGAATTCAGGAAATAGAATATCTGGAGAAGTGAATAGGAACTATAAACACAAACATCACCAAAGAATTCAAGAAATGGAGGAGAGACTCTAAGGTGTTGAAGATACAATAAAAGAAATAAATTCATTTATCAAAAAAAAAATGTAATATCTAAAGGACTTCTAACACAAAACATCCAGGAAATCTGGGACACATGAAATAAAACAAAACAGAATAATTTGAAAAAAAAAAGAATGCACAGTAAAAAACCAACAAAATATATTTAACAAAGCCATAGAAGGAAATTCCCCTAAGCAAACATGCCTATAAAGGTAGAAGAAGCTTAGAGAACACCAAATAGTTTGATCAGAAAAGAAAGCCCCCATATCACATAAAAATCAAAACACAAAAATACAGAACAAAGAAAGAATATTACAAGCTGCAAGGGAAAAAGGCCAAGTAATATCTAATGGCAGACCTATAAGAGTTACAACTAACTTGTCAGCAAAGTCCATAAAAGCCAAAATGGCCTGGACGGACTTGCTGCAGACTCTAAGAGACCATGGATGCTAGCCCAGACTACTATAGCCAGAACACCTTATAAGAAATTTCATGACAAAGTATAATTTAAACTATGTCTAACCAAAAATCCATCCCTAGATTTCTAGTTACTAAAAATATAGTTCCAATCTATGGTAATTAAATACACTCATGAAAACACAGGCAATAGATAGTCTCACACCAGAAATCCAAAGAAGGGAAACATGCACACACACACACACACACACACACACTACCACCACAACCAACAACATAATAACAGGAATAAACAATCCATG